AAGAACAGGGTCTTTAAAAGGGCCTATTTAACAAGAACAGGGTCTTTAAAAGGCCTATTTAACAAGAGCGGGGTCTTTAAAATGGCCTAGTTAACAAGAGCGGGGTCTTTAAAATGGCCTAGTTAACAAGAGCGGAGTCTTTAAAAGAGCCTATTTAACAAGAACAGGGTCTTTAAAAGGGCCTATTTAACAAGAACGGGGTCTTTAAAATGGCCTATTTAACAAGAACAGGGTCTTTAAAAGGGCCTATTTAACAAGAGCGGGGTCTTTAAAATGGCCTATTTAACAAGAGCGGGGTCTTTAAAATGGCCTATTTAACAAGAGCGGGGTCTTTAAGAATGCCCTATTAACAAGAGCGGGGTCTTTGAAATGGCCTGGTGAACAAGAACAGAGGCTTCAGAATGGCCTGGTTAACCAGAACAGGGGCTTCAGAATGCCCTAGTTAACAAAAGCAGGGTTTTTAAAATGGCCTGGTCACAAGAATGGGAGCTTAAAAGATGACCCGGTTAAAAAGCCCAGGGGCTTCAGAATGGGTCACATATTTCACAAGTTATCAGCATAATTGTAATCGTTATGTGTATATGTGATGTGTTATTAATGAATAGTAGTCTCTATACATATTAACCATCAACTATGGTTTTCTATATTAAGATTAGATTAATAAAAACCGTCTTAAAAACACTTAAATAATTAAATTAAAATTAATTTGGCAAAAAACGTCCACTCTTATCACCTATAATTTCTTAGATACTAGCCATGGTGATGGTAACTGTGTTACAGAAACTAGTCGGTTGTAAGTAGATACTAGCCATGGTGATGGTAACTGTGTTACAGAAACTAGTCGGTTGTAAGTAGATACTAGCCATGGTGATGGTAACTGTGTTACAGAAACTAGTCGGCTAAGTAATAATGAATATTTTTCCTTTCACTGTGGCAAAAAAAAAAAAAAGTCAGTTTTGTTTTTTATTTTGTTTTTCTGTGTGCATGAACGAAAACCCATCGCACACAACCTGCCCTACAAGTAGCTTAAATTATTTTTTTTAAAACTTTTCCTCAGAAAAAGTGTAATATGAATGTGTCAATATTTCATCATCTTTTGTTGTTGTTTTTAAGAGATTAGCTCCACAATGACAATTGGAATAATTCAGGAGTAATCAAGAAATCTACCTGTAATTCTTTAATCTCCATCAACAGGCCTTTCCGGATAAGTGCATGTAACTCAGTCAGATTCTGAGTCATCAGTGTGTCCACGTGACTGAAGATAATCTCATTGTCCCATGGCAACAGATGTGTCCGGTACATCACAGAGCTTCTTTCAGTCTCTTTTACAATAGCCACACAAGAAAAGTCATAACCAAAAAGAAGCTTTAAGTCTTTAGTGAAAACACACTCATAACAATGTGACAGAAATAATCTCGCATCTTCAAAAAGCAAGTTGTAAAACACAAGCACACACACAGATCCAATTAAAAAATTTAATTTAGGATAGTAAAGAAAATTAAAATATAGTTTTTGTTTACCTTCGATGGTTAACCACAAATCCTGTTTATCGAAAGATGCTTTCATTAAACATTTAAATCATCAGGATGATAGTAAGTAACACCACATGAGATGTAACTTTACCAAGGTAAATTCAATATGTTTTTATGGTTGTTTTCAGAATTTTTTGAGGTTTCAATTTTCAGATAATTTTTACCTGTTTTTTGTGTAATCATTATATAATAGTTGCTATCCAATAAGTGCCATATTAACCTTCATATACGTTTTGTCAGATTGTAATGTATTTATTATATCATATACAATAGTTGCTATCTAAGAAGTGCCATATTAACCTTCATATAGTTTATCAGGTTGTAGTGTAATTATTATATAACATACAATAGTCACTATCCAAGAACTGCCATATTAACCTTCATATAGTTTATCAGGTTGTAGTGTAATTATTATATAACATACAATATGGCACTTCTTGGATAGCAACTATTAACCTTCATATAGTTTATCAGGTTGTAGTGTAATTATCATATCATATACAATAGTTGCTATCGAAGAAGTGCCATATTAACCTTCATATACGTTTTATCAGGTTCTAGCTCACTGGCAGGGTAATGCTCCTAGTGCTAAATCTAGTTCACTAAAGCAGAGTAAAAAGGACAGTAAACCAAAGGTAATTTAATATTGAATTTGTTTATTAACTCAGATAGTGTTTTAAGTTTGTTTCACGAGTCTTTTTCTTCACTGTGATTATTCGATAAAACGTGCGACTTTTAATCGACAAAAGAAATCGATATTTTAAGAACTTAACTCTCGACAAAATGTTTGATGTGAGAATGTTATTCTCCGTGTGAACTAAAGAATTAATTGTTCTTAGATTTCACTGTTATATTATTATTATTACCGAAGATGAACAGACAGTATTGTCTTACATCGGCAATGAATTAATGTGTAGGAAATCTTAACTTAGCGCATAAATAGGATTAAATAGAACATTAGCAGAAAGCATTGTAATGAGATTTTATTTAAACAAATGGAATTATAATGACACCAGAACAAAATGGGCTCTATCTTTACTGTGGTAGGAGTTCATAAGACCTTATTCTGTGATATTCCATTATGTAGACAATACAAGTAGTACACTTAAAACTTAAGAATGTCTTTAAATAACAGCAGAAATATAACATTGAAATCTTTAGTAGTTAAGTGGTGAAAACGAAATCAAAAGATAATTTTATTTATGAATTTCAAGAAAGTACTCCTTTGTTCCAAAATCAAAGTTTTATTATAAGTACAATGAGGGTATAATGACCACCTTACAACAAACTTGGTGGTTGCACTAACTCTTCATGTGTCATAGATTGGTTTATGTTTTGTTTTTTTAGTTATAGCGTACTTCAAAATAAAGGACATTTAGGCACATTGATTTTGGAATTTCCCCCCTGAGAATTGGGAGAATTATATCCTCACTAATACCTGCTTTCTTTCTTTTTTTTATTTCTACTGTAAAATATTCCATTTCCTTTTCAATAATGGCCCGGCATGGCCAGGTGGTTACGGCGCTCGACTCGACATCTGCGGATCGCGGGTTCAAATCCCCATCACACTAAACATGCTCGCCCTTTCAGCCATGGGGGCATTATAATGTGATGGTCAATCCCACTATTTTGGTAAAAGAGTAGCCCAAGAGTTGGTGGTGGGCAGTGATGACTAGATACCTTCCCTCTAGTCTTACACTGCTAAATTACGGACGGTTAGTGCAGATAGCCCTTCTGTAGCTTTGCGTGAAATTCATAACCAAACCTTTTCAATAACTAAAGACACTATACCTAGGTGTATGTACCACATCTTGACAAACAGTTGTTTTTGATTAACTAGACAAATGTCAGAACTAATGCTGACTACATGTAAATGGTTTTTAAACTCTATGCTTGAGAGCTTCGAAAAGCTACACATTTTAACTTTCTTTCCATTTGCAAAACAAAACATTATCTAAATCTAAAAGCTAATGAAAACTACCAGTGAAGACTGTTAATTAACATAGTGATGGTTCCTTCTATATTAAAACTGAGAAAGCACAAAGATTAACACACTTTTATAAAATCTGACTATCTTATCAACTGGTAAATCTATTATTGAACTTTTGTTGAAAGAAAATATATATACTTAAGAAAACGGTGCTCTTAATACAGTTTACTTTTTTTCTATGTTTATTTTAGTGTTTAACTGGGTCTTGTCATTTCTCTACACATTACTCCATTTTAAGTTTATTTTAGTGATTAACTGGGTCTTGTCATCAACATTACAGTTTCTTGTTTCAGTTTACTCTGTTTTAGGTTTAGGTGTTTAACTGGGTCTTGTCATCAACATTACAGTTTCTTGTTTCAGTTTACTCTGTTTTAGGTTTATGTTTGGTGTTTAACTGGGTCTTGTCATCAACATTCCAGTTTCTTGTTTCAGTTTACTCTGTTTTAGGTTTATGTTTAACTGGGTCTTGTCATCAACATTACAGTTTCTTGTTTCAGTTCACTCCGTTTAGGTTCATGTTTGGTGTTTAACTGGGTCTTGTCATCAACATTCCAGCTTCTTGTTTCAGTTTACTGTTTTAGGTTTATGTTTGGTGTTTAACTAGGTTTTCTTGTGAATATAAATTCTGGTTCTTATACTAAACTTGCGTGAAATCTATATAATTTCCTGATTTTGACCAATAAATAATTTAAATTTTTTAAAGACACGTTAATAAAGCCAGTAACTGGAAAGAACTTCATCACGGCACCTTACCACCATGTGAAGATTACCTATGTAGTGGTCGGTTAACTCTGAAAACATTTCCCACATCAGGCCTCAACAAAACGGTACTCTTCTCTTCCTTACTCTCATTTCTGAGATCTTAAAAATATTTCCTTTAGGGCCAAATATACTGTTAAAATCTTAAAGAAAAGGTGAGAAAACGCAAGGTTACTTGGAAGCTGCGAAATACTTTAATATTTGCAAGGAAAATATTTTGCACAATTTTTCTGAAATATTATTTAATAGGAGATTTGAGTTTGATAGTATTTGAATTATGGTGAACCAGTTTATTATAATATTGAACCCATTTAGTTTTCTTATGGTGAACCAGTTTATTATAATATTGAACCCATTTAGTTCTCACTTGTTTTTTAGTTTGGATAGACAGGAAGTGTAGAGAAACTATACATACAATTTTATGTAACGCGTATCCATACACTTCAGTTATGGTGAACCAGTTTATTATAATATTGAACCCATTTAGTTCTCACTTGTTTTTGTAGTTTGGATAGACAGGAAGTGTAGAGAAACTATACAAACAATTTTATGTAACGTGTATCCATACACTTCTTTTTAGAAGGAAGATGGCTGTTGGATTGAGGACTCATCCGTGACTTCAGTGTTAGCTACTTTCCTTGTACCACTGTCCACATTGTCCAAGACTTGTGATGTTAGTCCCGTGGTGCACGTAATCTGGGAGGAAAATTTAAAACAGCAGCAAGCAAGAATAGTTCGGGAAGATCTCAGAAGTTACAGTAGCGTGAAAACCACAAAAAAAGGTTTAAAACAATTTAAGCATTCATAATATTGTAAGGTAAAAATTCTTTTATCGATAAAATACTGTTGAAACGACACTTGTCATTGGCTCTCGTTAAAGTATGAAAAGACCATTTTATTGTACATTGTTAGCATAAGTCACAACTTATGGTTCTTATGAGAATATTAAAATACTGTTGCATTGTGCTTCATTATCATAGAATAAGACAATATTCGTTTCGGTTCCTTGTCAGAATACAACTCCCTTTGGTTTTATTCTGTTTGCATTGGATCAGATACTATTATTCTACATTAATGTGTCATTAGGCCTTTGCAAAATATGATAAGACCAGTTTATTGTCCTTTTTTTTTTCTTCATTTCATTAGATATTGACACTTGTTTGTTGGATGAAGTTTTCGCTTTTTACCCATCTCAGGCAAGATGAGTTGACCATAGTTTGATATACTTAGCTAGTTGACTGTTCAACTTAGGCTGTAGGTTACTAATTAGGAATGTTTCCTTTTTTCTTAGCGTTCATTCATCTTTCACCGAGTCTATTATTCTGAAGTGTTAAATGTTTGGTTTTTCATTACATTCTTTGCATAGGTGGTTGTAACTTCCAGAGTTATTGAAAGGGCTGTTAATTCGAGAGTTCAGAAAGATAGACTCGGTGAAAGATGAATGGACGCCAAGAAAAACGTATCTAAGCTGAACAATCAACTAGCTATGTTACTGTGTCTCAAACTATGATCAACTTATTGTACTTTGTTAGCACAGGATGAGACCGCACATGAATTTTTAATTTGTCAGAAGGTCATAAAATTATTTCATTGTGCTAAGTTTACGTGGGAGTAAAAAGTGTGTCATTGTGTGCCTTTTTGCTATCATAGTAACATATTAGCTAGAGTGAAAGGGCATTGGCTTGTCAGACTGTAATAAAACTATTTCATTGTACACTGTTTATGGAGGAGGATTTGAGTTGCTGGTTAAGGCATTGTGTAGGGTCAAAAAATGAGATGAATCGGGAAAATAAGAAACTCTGTAATCCAAGTACTTATGGAAGGTAGACTTAGGGTGGATTGGTCAGAGTAGAAAGTGTAAAAATTTGGAAGTGATCTTTAGAAACATCGTGTTTATGTGTAGAAGAAAAGCATTTGATTTGACTTTCACTGAGAATGTTGAGGTTGTGTACAAAAAGATAGAAACGGAGTAGATGAGGGTTTGGTTTGTTTTGAATTTTGCACACAGCTACACGAGGGCTATCTGCGCTAGCCATCCCTAATTGAGTAGTAAAAGACTAGAGGGAAGGCAGCTAGTCATCACAACCCACTGCCAACTCTTGGGTTACTACTCTTTTACCAATGAATAGTGGGATTGATCGTGACATTATAATGGTCCCACGGCTGAATGGGCAAACATGTTTGGCAGAACAAGGAATCGAACCTGCAACCCTTATATTACAAGTCGAGCACCCTAACCAATTGGCCATGAGGTAGAAGAGTAAATGGAACCGTTTGTGACCGTGGTGTTGGGAGTAAACGGAACCGTTTGTGACCGTGGTGTTGGGAGTAAACGGAACCGTTTGTGACCGTGGTGTTGGGAGT